ACACGTGTAATAAGATGGGGCGTACAAATAAAATCTACATGAGGCAATGCATAGTATTCCTCTAGTAATATCTAATTATAGTGTGACTCTTCTAGTCCCCCGACATATACATTAATGACGTCATAACGGGAAACACCCTCCTGGTGATACATAGCTCACACTATATCCCCGAAGTAGAATTAATAAATATTAACTTATATGATCTAATATAGTTCCTTGAGTGACAGGAGTTAATTGACATTCCAAAACGAATGCCATCTTTCCAGTAATATCATGAAAAAGGGAATATTTACTAAAGTGAGGATTGATGGCAATTCAAAGTGAATTCCAAAATCTAGGCTAAAATAGCCGAATAATAAAACATCTCTGTTTTTAGTTTGACTATATTGGCCTTAAATTTGAAATTTACTTTGAATTCACAATGATTTTCTAATAATTCTAATAAACCTGCAAGTGTCATCTTTCACCATTCAATAAATATATTATATTTACAAGCAGAATTGTAATTTCTATTGGAAGCTATTGATGCCCTGTTTTTGCTACTAATGTTTTGACAATTGTTTCGCTCAATTAGAAGGCTCAATAATGTCAAATGATAAACTATTTCTAGCTCTAGATACATGTTGTGTAACACCATAAATTTAATCCGTTTCTTACCTGCTGTAAAAGCCTTAAAAGAGAAGTTTTTAGTATGTTTATTTTATTCACTTTAGTGAATAAATATGTGTTTATGCGGTCTGAGAAATAAAATGATAGGGTTACTCTGAGCACCACAACCACTTCAGTGACCTGAAGTGGTGATGGTGCCTAGAGTCTGTACGTGCAGCATTTCGCTATGACACACTGCACATACGGAGATTAACCCCTTTTTTGCTGGAGGTTTAACTGAACCTCTGGCAGCATCATTGGGGAGTCATTAGTCAGTTGTAAATAAGAATTCCGGGCTGGATGATATCAATCCTGTTCACAACTGGTGTCTGACACCAGCATGCCAGATGGATCCACTCTGTTCCATCCCTTTCCCCTTCGCAACTTGCCCTGCGGCAACGAAAGTGATAACAATGGCGGAACATTGGGCTGCAGGGTGTGCTTGGCATTGGAGCTGGGCCAAAGAGTAGTTACTTGCTATTTTGTTTGGGGGTTGACATATATAAAAAGGGTTACTCTGACCAAAAGACTGCTGGAGTAACCCATTAAGTGTAGAATTTCACACCTCTGTCTTTCCCTGTACCCTAGAACTGAGTGTCCCCCTCTTGGCTCAGTCATTAGTAAGGAAACATACCTCTGTTGATGCTTCTACGTCCATTCGGACCCAGTCCCGGGGCTCTGTTTTCAATTTGGGCACATTCCGTGTCAAAAAGAGTTAGATCAAAAACTACCACTAACTCTAGGCTTGACTTGGGTTTAACGATGTCAAGGCAGGCACATAGGAGAGGCACTAGATTGCGTAAAAATTTGGCCGCGTCAATTTCAAATGCTCAGCTGCGTCATTCTGGGCACAATATTGTATGTATCAGGTTGCACTTGCATCATATTGAAATCAACCAAACCTTAATGACCTTAGTGCTCATTTATACCTTAGTTGGTTAGGTTGGTGTCCAGTCTGGAGCTCTGCGCATGCATCAGTGATGCTAATTGATGCAAGAGCCTGGGCCTATATATACCCTTACTTTGTTACCATCGTCCAGTGCCCTTTTGTGGTTCCGAAGTTCTTAAGTGCATTATATTGTTCCTGATTTCCTGTTTCTGACCCGGCTGAGTTATTTTCCCTGTGACCAGACCTGGCCACGTACTGACCACAAATTCTCCTGTTCCTGAATAGTGTACCAGACCTGTTCCTGACTTCAAGTTATTCCTCTACCTCACGGGCAGGCAACTTTCAGTACTCCACGTGTCGTGGACTACATCTTACTTGATGCTTTAAAAGACCATAGTGCTGGCAAAGCATCAGGGGAGATATAGACCACAACACATGAACCTTCCTGCTCTACCTGTACCAATTTGCTTATTCTGCCATTGTTATTCCTATTATTTTGGTTCTCCTCCTGGTTTGAATATGCTTGTTAGTTTAGACCTGGTGCTTCCTTATTCCTCCTTAGCGTTAAGGTTCTCTAATCCGCCGTCGTGTTTCCCCTACTTTGCCTCGGGTAGAGTTGCTGCCTTATATTTTGCCGATGGTCCTCACGTTTGGTGATAGTCATTGTTATAAGCCAGGGGTAGGCAACCTATGGCACTCCATATATTGTGGACTACACCTCCCTTTATATTTTGCCAGCATTATGCCTATCAGAGCATTCTGTGAGTTGTAGTCTACAACACACCCTGTAATAAGCACCACCCTTTCCAACTGTCAGTCATTAAAAAAAGATTATCGAGAAAGGAAGAGAAACAAACAATGTTACAGTTTATCCTCCTCCAACGTAATGTGTGCCATGGCTGTACCAGGACTGAACTGTGTTGTGATGTCCACTGCTAAAGCTTTAATATACATTTAAAATAAAATGGAGCATCAAACGAAATAAATTTAATAGTAGATATAGGTGTTGTTTTTTTTCCAAAGAGGCACTCTAGGCGTCTCATTTCAGAAGTGGTTATGGTGCATGGAGTCCCTTGGCACAATACCACTGTTCAGGGCCAAGTCTTTTTCAATCAATTTGACACTAAATGAGCGTCCCATTTCGGCCGTTGACCGTTGGATTGTATAGCTAATGCAGAGGTTACTTCCCAATTAGCCATACCAACACATACCCAGGATGGACTGTAGTGATAGGCTGAGATCAATCAGCTGACAATCAAAGACCATTACTATCACCCTTCACTGGTCTAATCAATACAGAAGAATTAGCCTGAGCAGCAGAGAGAGGCTACGCTGCGGATGGTCAGAGACTTTCATTCAATATCAAAGTGATTGCAAACAGATGGATGGCACCAAGGGATTTTAGGTAGCAAAACCACTGCAATGAGTTGAAGTTGTTATAGTGCTTAGAGTATCTCTTTAATTATTCATTCAATGGTGTACTCTCCATAGAAGAGATTTCTCCTTTCCTCTTTGTAATATGGGTATATCCAATTAATGCTGAATTTCACGGCTACCTTCTCCACATGGAGGCTACCCAATCTCTCAGTATTAAAGTAACTTAGAAAGTTAGCTATTACATAAAGCATTTCTTCCTGCTCCCAATTTCTTGTGATTTAGTTCCAAGCCTGCACTGCTTCCTTCTCACTACTTGCATCTGACTCTACACCGCTATTGTTTGCCCAGCTTTCTATGGTTACTTTGGGTTATTCGTTAAAGTGTGAATTGAAAGTGAATTCTTGTTTTAGGCCAGATTTCTTCAGATCACCCGTGTTTCTAGATTGTACATTTTGGTTCAAATTTAAAATTCCCTTTGACTTCACGCCTTTTTGAATAACCCTGTCAGATTATGCACGTCTGTGTGTTAGATACAAGGCTACCACTGCCGTATGTGCTATTTCCTGCTTTGCTTCCAACGAGTCATGGACGTCATGCCAATATATTTCTGATTGATGCCATTCTGGTGCTCCCCGGCCTGCTTCTCATGGATTATGTTTTAGATGACAGACTGGAATGGCCTGTCCTACTTTCCATGGGTTGGGGCTGGCACTAGGGTGGATTTACATCGAAGGTGTCACTCTGGAGTTATCTCACTTCTGACACAGCATGCTGTATCCCAAGGCTTGACAAATTTACTTGGAATATAGGAGCCAGTTTAAAAAAATTATGAGCCAGGTTTTTTTTGGTTTTTTTTAAACTAACAAAGCTTTATTTTCAATGACAAAAATAACATCTTAAAGGGACACTATAGTCACCAGAACCACTACAGTCAACAGAGCCACTACAGACTGCATGGAGTCACTGAACATACCCCATGGAGATATATTGATTCAATGCATTTCTATGAAGAGATGCTGATTGGCGCAGCATTTTCTATGGGAAAGTATTTAATTTGCTGAGATCATTAAGATTGATGAAGTCTGCCATGGAGGGAGGGAGCAGAGCAATAAGAGTAGGAAGATTACAGCTCTCTCGCCGCCCGCCTCCATTGCACACAGCCGTCCGCTTGGGGGGGCTCTAACGTGGCCAGTGCTGAACGGGCAGATAAACACCCAGGTGCCAGGACAAAATTCTTATTCGCCATGGCAACCTAGTGCCTGCAATTTATCGAGCCCTGCTATACCCACACAAACACTTATACTGGTTTGGGGGTCTTGTCAATTTGGTGTCATTGTTGAAAAGTGTTTGGGAAGAGTTGTGTCATTCTTGTGTCAATTTCGTCCCAAAGCGTGCCTGAAAAGTCGCATCATTCGGGCGTACTTTTTGATGTGACTTGGAACATACACTCTAAGTGTTGGCTGCGTCATTCTGACGTCATCGTGACATGAAGCCTGCACCAGGTCGCTCACGCAGTATTTGACTCACAGGGATGATGCGGGTATGTAAACCCTTTCTGGCTCTATCTAGGTGCCCTGTTGTGGTTCTTGCTGATGCAATAGCACATTCCTATACATTTCGTTTTGTGGCTTGTTCTTGGTCTGTTTAGCTGATCCTACCTCTGCGTTCCGACATTTGGCTTCTCTGTTCTGTTTCTCCTGTCCTTGACCTTGACTTGCTCTTTGACTATCCCTGACCGTTGAGTCCGGCTGCTGTAATGCTCTAAGGACCGCTAATATGGACTAGCCTTCTGATCTGTTTCTAGTGGGCTTGGCTTTGTGTGTTAGGGACTTCACCAGCGCTGACATTAGGTCAGCAGAATTCTCAGATACCTTTATGTCCCTCTAAAATATCCAGCTCTTCGTTGCTTACCCCATGTTGTGGTGTACACGCCGGAAAGCCAAAAATTAGATCTCTCACTCCCAACCACCATAAAGAAAGAAAATGGCAAGTAGCAAAAATGACAAAGTATATGAAATATATCTGAAAATGAAAAAAAATATAGGAAGCTTCCTCCTCTGCCAATTGGCGAATCCAGCCCTGGCTCCCAGTACTTGCCATGATTCCAATGTTTTGTGTTTGATGTCATGTTAGTCTTCCTTGCTGTCCCTGGATTCTCCGATGTGACCCTGGAACTTTCTGATCCCTATGCCAGGCTGGAGGGGTCTGCCGTACTCAAATTGGTTTTGTGGAGCAAGGAATGGACGGGCACAGACTGGTTATTATGAGTTCTGTTTTTAATTACCCACGCACTATGGGATCTGTTTCCATTGTTTCACCTCATGGGTTTTGTGTTTGATGCCAGGCTGGCAGTGCCTGGTCACTTTGGGTTATGTTTTATATCAGTTTGGGACTGCCTGCATTCCATGGGTTGCAGGCTGATGGCAGTTTGGCATTTTCTGTCCTGCTCCTTGTTTAGTTTAAGGCTGGCACTGCCTGTTACCTGAATTCTTTGTGTGATGCTAGGCTGGCACTGCCTTTATGCACCCCATGGGTTTAGTGCTCAATGCGTTACTGGTACTCTCTTCTGATGGATCTTGTGTTATGGCGTCAGGTTTGCACTCCACGTGGTTCTGTGTTTAACACCATTCTAGCACTGGCCATTGGTTTTATGTTTCATATCAAAATTGTAATGCCCAATAGTTGTTTTTTTTATGTCCGTTTAAAACAGTTTATGGGTTCCTGATTGATGCCAAGCTGGCACTACTCATGGGTTCTATGTTGTTGCCAGGCTGGTATTGCTTATGAGGTCCATATCTAATGCTATTAAGGCTCTGCTTATAGGTTCTATGTTTGATGTCAGGCTGGCACTGCCCATGGGTTTTATTTGATGCCAGGCTGACAATAATCATGGGATTTATGTTTGATGTTAGGATGGCAATGATCATCGGATTTATGTTTGATACCAGGTTTGCACAGCCCATGGGTTTTATTTGATACCAGGCTGGCACTGCCCATGGATTTTATTTGATGCCAGGCTGGCAATGATCATGGGATTTATGTTTGATATCCGGTTGGCACTGCCCATGGGTTTTATGCCAGGTTGGTACTGATTATAGGTTGTATTTGATGCCAGGCTGGCACTACCCATGGGTTTTAGTTGATGCCAGGCTGGTACTGATTATAGGTTTTTCTTGATGCCAGACTGGCACTGCCCATGGGTTTTACTTGATGCCAGGCTGGTACTGATTGTAGGTTTTTCTTGATGCCAGGCTGGCACTGCCCATGGGTTTTTCTTGATGCCAGGCTGGCACTGCCCATGGGTTTTACTTGATGTCAGACTGACACTAACCCACATTTCAAGCTGGCCACAACTTTACCCATTGGTAGGTTGATAACAGACGCCCCTGAGCTGTAACTGAACTATATTTCTCATGAGGCTTCCACATAGCATTAAGACAGTTTAAGTTATACAATAGTTGGGGGGGGGGGTCTTACACTGAAAAAATGCATATTTAACATTTAGCCGGTGGGCCCCACCTCTCACCTATTTCAACTCATTGCCTCTTTAAGACTGAGCGACAGACAGAGCGTCATCTCCCCAGTAGCCACGCCCCCTGCAATGACTGGCAGCGCAGACGGCCACTCAGTGCGCAGAGATCGCCTAGCACCGCCTCCCCAGCGGCCAACCAGCGCCCAGGAGGTTGCAGAGCACTTCCTGGTTGTCAGTTAAGGTGGCCCCATGAGGATGGGAGCTGGGCAGAGTTTAAAGGTGGCAGGGAGGAGTCAGTGACAGGGGCTGGGGAGGGTGCTCAACCTGTGGCAGGTGGGGAGGGGGGAGGGGTTGGTGCAGGGTGGGGGGCTCCAGCCATTGGCTGTGCAGGGGCAGATAGAGGATCCAGGAAGTGGATGCCTGGCTGGGTGTAGCTGTATCCAGGGGGCTGGTGTCAGGGACAGGTGAGGGTGGGAGGGGAAAGGACAGGTGTGACAGGCTGGGGAAGGAGGAGGAGAGAGCTGGGAGTGAGGGGGGAGAGCAGGCAGCTTCCTGCAGACAGAGCCCACCCAGACACCAGGGAGATCAGAGGACAGACCCTGAGCCCCCCCCAGTAATCCCAGGGACATCTGTCACCATCAGCAGGTGAGTGTCTAGCATAGTGTGACCCAAATCCCATCCTCTCTGCATGGCTTAATGCCACCTCTCCCACCTACCCACCCTCTCTGCATGGCTTAATGCCACCTCTCCCACCTACCCACCCTCTCTGCATGGCTTAATGCCACCTCTCCCACCTACCCACCCTCTCTGCATGGCTTAATGCCACCTATCCACCCTCTCTGCATGGCTTAATGCCACCTACCCACCCTCCATGAAGCACAGTGTGACCCATACCCCATCCTCTCTGCATGGCTTAATGCCACCTCTCCTACCTACCCACCCTCCATGGCTGCCCCCTCTCCTTGCTTGCTGCAGTCTACCATCTCCCCTGTCACCTCTCTTCACAGCTCCCAGACACCATGCTGTAATTCCCCACCTTCAATGTCCCCCTACTGTCCATGATCCCAGGTGTCAACTTATACCTGCTGTCATAACCTACCTGCTTTCCAACACTTCTGCTGTCATCCACTTACTGCTAACTACCACCTCTGCTATAATTCTACCATCTACCACCTTTACAGCACCCCCCACCCCTTAATTTGGTGTCTGTGTCTCCTGCCCCCACTCCTTACCTTCTGTCTACCACCTTTGCTGACACTTGCTACCTGCTGTGTACTACTCCTGCTATATCCCCCTTCTGCTGACTCTCACTATTGTTTTTACATAGTAACATAGAAATATATAGGCTGAAACCAGACTTCCAACTCACCTACTACCTATCTCACCTGTCATCTACTTACTATTTATTTACTACTACCCCTGCTTGTTTAGTCACTTGATTCTCATCCCCTTTACTCTTCTACTCTTATACATAACTTCCCTTTTCATTTTTATATTTTGTCGTTCCCCCTTGTCACCAACCTCCCCTCCTCCTTCTCACCCCCTTCAACTGTCACCCTCCCCCCTCTTCTCTGTCCGTTTGTGTCACCTGCCCGTCTCTCTTATCCACTGGAGGCGACTTGGCATCTGCCAAACACCGACACCTATTGTCATATTTAACCCCTTGTCTGATAAAAAGTTAAATCTATTTCCCCTGTTTTATTTGGTTTATGTTTAGTGGTCCCCAATCCCCCCCTCCCCCCCATTGCCTGCAGGTGAGTTTTAAGTCCCGTCCCCCCTCAAATTATTAACCTCTTTGATACTCTTTCTATATACTATTAGGTACATTGTAACCAAACTGGTTAATCAAGTTAGTAGTTTATCCTTATTTTGAAGAATTTCTTGTAATTCGAGCTGCTAGGTCCCCCTAGTCCCCTGTATCTTGTTTTATAGTCTCTCTTACAGACTTTACCCTTAGTCCCCTCCTTATCTGTTCAATATCACCTTTACCTATCCCACTTCTCGCGCCTCACCCTGATCTACAGGTTCCTGTAAAGTCTATATTCTTTACATGCGTTTTTTTTTTTTTTTTTTAAGGGGTGAATTATTTCTATCAGGTGAGCTGCGTAGACTGTATAATAATAAGCTAGGTGTTAAATGGACAGGTGCTTTCTCATCTGTCCATCACGTCACTGGATCGCCTGGAGGTATCTTCATGGCTTAGGTTTACTGTTAGACCCCGAATGTCACCTTATGGTCTCTATACAGGGTTGTCACTAATTCATTTCTGGGAGATCTGTTTCTCTCATTCAGTTTCTTAGTATACCGATGACATGATCGAGGGGAGCACGCTTTTCCTGTTCCTGTTGTTAAGCTACTACTGACCAAAAACAAATGAGCCCAACTTTGTCTTTTAGAATTCTTAAAACCTTTTGGCTCTTAGAAAGATAAATGCAGGTAAATATGTGCGATTTATAGAGTGGTAATTAGTTGTTGGGTCCTGGTTGCGTCATTAGCTCCAGATGCTCTAGAAAGGGTTAATGAGATCTTGTGCACCCCCCACCCACCAAGTCCTTGTGCCTGTCACCTCTCCCTGACTGCCCCTCCCTGTGCGGTTTAACCTGCTCGTAATAATCCCAGCTTTCCCTGCTGACGACAGACTGAGGGGTCTGTAATTATGGAGGTCGATGTGGATTTATAGGATAGGACACAAGATTCCCACCTCTCTTCCTTAACCGTTTCCTTGCAGAGGCACCCATGCTACAACAGGGCCTTAGATGGAAACCTGCTGTTAGGGTTTTAATTTGGGCCAAGGCTTTAAACACAATGAATCTCCAGGTGGACCCTTGGGTCTTCTGGGGAGAAAATGGTTACTGGTGAATTTCTTGCTAAGAGCCATCACAGGTCATGCTCTATTTCTCTATAACTAGGAAGTTCCTCTGTGTTCCATGTATCTGCAGACAGACCCAGTGCATCTGCTGTCCTTCAATTGCTTTAGAAGGTGTCCTGGTTTAACCCTTCGAGTGTCACAGTGGAGAGATCTATATATCCCTCCAGGCAGAGAATGAGTTTAAGATGCCCGCCTATCATTCTGATGGACTCTTGGAGAGGGAGATCAGGGTCAAAGGCTCTTATCCTCTATTGGATTCATTGGTTTCAGTTTAAAATTGAGGAGTATTTTTATACTGCAAGGTATGAGTTTATCTTTTCAGGAAGAGTAGTGGATGCAGGGAATGGCTGCCCAGCTGATATTGTAAACACTGGTTGTTTTAATTGTTTTCTCTTTAATGCAGTGTGCATTGATCAGTTGTTGTTGTTGGAATTGGCCCTGTTTTACTGTACGCACATAATGACTAGTTTAGGAGGTCCTAACAGTCTCCAGCATATAGATAAGGAAGTAACTCCATTATCTGACCTCCAAAAGCCACAACCCTACTTAGAAACGCTCAGCTCAGCTGCATGACTGTGAAAGCACTTTGTATTGTCGCACCTCGCTGTAAACCATTTGAAAAGTCTCTCTCCATCAGCAAGGGAAAAGCCACCAACAGCCCTCTGCAAAGCTCTCTCGATGTTCCCATCTTTCAAGACGTTAACCGCACAACCTTTCCCAAGCTGTAAAACTAGGCCCAGGTTTGTTAAATAGTGCTATGCTTTACTTGAACCTGCTGTTTGGTGTGATTAGGTGTCTGTCGGTTACTCTGGGTGATCCCTCCTCCTCCTCTTCGCTGGCAGATAGTGGGGAGAAGCTGAGTTTGCAAATTTTTGTTTTCTGGGAGGGGAGAGCAAGTGACAGTACAGACTCATTACTTATTTGGGGTTTCGTCTCTAAATTGGTAATTGTAGAGACTTGGCAAGGGAAATGCAAATTTTAAGGAAAACATATTTTTTCTTAATTTCCCCAACTCTATTTTACTAAATAAATTCCCTTCTCAGCCCTCTACGATTTCGGATTTAGTATTGAACCCATTTATCCTGGCCATGCTCCTCTGTCCCTTTTGGGCATTCTGCCACTGAATGTCGCTCCTCTGGGAATCAAATTAATGTGATAATGGTGAGGTTTGAAAACGCTCTGTCTCTTTAATCGAAATGCTTGTGGGTTTTGGCACAGTGAACTCGCACTGTGTTTGGTGTACAGGTTTAAGGGATATTGTACTCCAGAATCTCAGGCCCTGGTGATATTAACCTTTTCTATGCCAAACACGACTGCGTATCATCCCACTCTGGATCAGTACAAACCTGATCCAACACACAGGCCTGCCCGCTGCCAAGTCATGTTTTCATTAAATTGTTAGATTGAAAGCTCCTTTGGCCTGAGTCTACGTCCTCCTTTTTATATCTGTTTTTTTTTTTTTTAAGGTACAGGTCTTATAAGGATTATTCCTTCCTCTGTAAATTCCTTTAATATTGGTCTCAGCGAAGGTTCGTGTTATGCCTTAACAGACAGTTTAGTCTAAATTTGCACTTCCCTCGTCAGTTTTTCACGATTTCCATTTAGGGGATAAATCCTTGTTGGGGGGATGTGCGGGGGGAAACCCAATGTCTTTATTCAGTTGACCATTATTATAAAAAAGTAAATAATGGTGACCTGCAAAATCCAGGTATCCAAGATGTGAGTGAATGTTGTTAATATTGGCATTTATTTAGCGCCAGCTTATTCCCTAGCGCAGTACAATTATAGAATTGGGATAAGTGACAAGAAGTGACATACAATTCATTTATTAATTCCCTGCTATTTTTAGTTGGTGAATAAACTCCGCAGGATCTAATAAATTGTCTCTTGTAAGAAGATGCTGGTTCCGTTCTTTGAAATTGCAGGAAAGACAGTTGGGTGTCAAGTCAGTATTTCTGTAAAGTGTATGTATGTATGTATGTATGTATGTATGTATGTATGTATGTATGTATGTATGTGTGTATGTATGTGTGTGTATATGTGTATATATATATATATATATATAACCAGTCCTTGCACTCAGATTAACCCTGCTATATTAAGCATAATATTGAATGCAGGGTGCTAAAAGCCACAGCCAAAATATACTTACGGGTATATATTGCAACATTTTAGGCTGATATGTTATTGTTGTTTGTTGCTCCTGAAGAAAGCCCAGGGTTTTTATGGAATAATTGAATAAAGATGATTTTTTTTTTTTTTTTTTAAACTACAAGACCGTGAGTGCTAGCCTATATTTCAGTTTTTGTGTGTATGTATGTATGTATGTATGTATGTATGTATGTGTGTATATATATATATATATTATACTTTTTCTTTTTGCATACCTTATTACACATTTTTCCGAGACTCTCATTTTTAAAATTTAAGTATCGTAATATATGTATTTATTTTTTTGCGGGGTGGCCCTTCTCTCTTGTCCCATCTCACCCCGCATTGTGTGGCAGCTTTTTAACTAGATCTTTCTCACCCTAACTCTCACGTTCAGACTCCAATTTTAAAGCGGTACAGGTTTTTACCTGGTTTCCTCCCAGTGCTGTTTGCAATAGGCATCTCTCAGCATGGTAATCCATATCTTTTTTTCTAACGTTTCATACTGTTTTACACTACCTTTTCATTTATAGTGCATTACTGAATTAAGGGGGGGGGAGGAACATAAGTGTTGTGTACCTGGGTACCCATATCATTGGATCACTAGGTAAGTGAATCCCATAGGACTCACTTGTGGCCCTGCGATTGATTTTTCGCTGTGAATACCACCGGTTCTAATGACCAGTGCTAATTGCGCAGCCAGAAATCTCATTGCCATGAGTGAACAGAATATCTTGAATGTTGAGTGACAAAATGAAAATTGGATAACCTCTTAATGCCCAAGGGAGAATCTGGACTTTCTGGACAGATCTATCTCTCCTGATAAATAGCGGTGTGACCATTCTGTCCTGGCTTTCATTTATTTTACCCCATTCATAGTTTGAGAGGGACTAATTTATTGTAAAATCAGATAGGGACTCTTATTGGTTGGAAGGTTTTGTTACCTTAGCAGTCAGAATAAGCTTATGGTTTTGGTTTCTTGTTTGCAATTGAAAACATCATGATAGTGTTACATATGCTATGCTTTATCACCTTATAAAAAGTCTTCATTGTAACCCAGTAACTCTTACTACCTACAGGTATAGGCTGAGGCCCTGATTTAGATTTGTACCATATGATTGCCCATTATACAAACCCTCTCGTGCTCCTAACCTCATATTGCTAATATTCCCAAATCTGCAATATGTTTGATTCTCTACGGGAGGAGATCTCTATCCAGGCCCCCCCACTGAAACGTGGTCCATCTTTTTTATTCCTGTGTAGTGTTCAAGGTTCATCTGACATGTTAGATGAATGGCAAAGTGCTATAACTGTTGCAGATTAAGTTGTGATCTGTTCATTTATATTCATGACCTCCACTTCATCAAACCAATCCCCCCCCACCCCCAACCTTTAAAATTTAGATTTCATAAAAGAACTCTCTAACTTTAGGTACATTTTTCTTTTTAATTTTTTTTTATTTTTTATTCCAGATATTTCCTTTTACTGCAGCGTAGATCTGAAATGAGAATACCCTCGCATGGTTTGGGTTTTTCGTTTTTGCCAAAATACCCTGTATCTCCCCCTTAACTTGCTTGTAATCCTTTGAAAGGCCTTGTGGCTTAGAGTAGAAATTTACTTACAATTTAGTGTCTATTTCTAATGTTGCTGTAAGGACAACAGTGCTTTCTGTGATCTCTGATTTAATTCAGATTGTATCAAAATGGGCTGGAGGCCCCTTGTGCATTTAGACCTTCAGCCCCAATCTTGCTTTTATTTATTTTTAAAAAATGTTATTTTCCTGTGTTGATGTAATCATTTATGTATTTTTAGAATTGGGTTACTTTAATGGGCGGCTATTTGGACCCCGGCTGTGGCATAGTAGCTTTGCTGTGGTTCTCTGCCCTGTGAAGTGGTAAAGCTGATATTTTAAATGTATCAGGCTGTTTGTGCATAGAATAAGGAACAAGTTGTTGAGTTTACTGTTGTGCCAGAGTATCCTGCTGTGTTGGTATTGAATTCCAAATTTGGGAAGTGTACCACCTGTACAGCCCTATATGTGGCTCTTCTTTTGTTTTTTAAACAACACCCGTTGAAGGGAAGCATGACGTTGATGAGTGGGGTCCTCCTGGGCATCCCGTATGTGTTGGAAGAGGTGGGGGACTGAAGATGATGAAAGTGCAGAGAAATCCTTTTGGCTGCGAGCTGTTCTCATCACGCAGGGGCCTGGGGACCATTCTCCAGCTGCCTCCAATGTGCAATCTCCACTAATGTTGCAAAAGGCCCTCCTCTGCCCCCAGGAGAACGCGGCCACCTTCTTTCCTCTGCCAGTGAGTCCTGCCAGCTGACATGGGGGAGGTAGGGATATGGGTCTTCCGCCTGGTACTGTCCCCAGGGCTTTCTAAATACAGTGTCTTCCCAGCTTTATTTGCTGTGATGTCTGGTGGGAACATCGACTCCTCTTTCATCATTTTATCGTCACTTTTCAAACCTTCATAGCTCAAGTTTGATAGGTTTATTTTGCCCTGATTAATCTGAATGCACGAAGGCTAGAAAAACTCCAGGTAGCCATGACTCTTAAAACTTTACTGCGGGCAACCTAGCCAGTGCTATATTATTGCAATGGTTAGAAATCCAATGTACCCTGTTCCGTAATTCAGAGTTTAATACATAGGCCAGTTTATGGTGTATACCCCATGGGGTTGATATGTACGGGGTAGGTCAGGGTATATACTCCCTATGGTGTATATGTACAGGGCATATAAAGTTGTGTACGGGCAGGTCGAGGTGTATGACCCTGTGGTGTACGGGCAGGTCGAGGTGTATGACCCCCTGTGGTGTATGCGGGCGAGGTGTATACCCCTGTGAGGGTATGGGCAGGTATGTATAGCCCCTGTGGTGTGCGGGCAGGTCGAGGTGGATAACCCCCTGTGGTGTACGGGCAGGTCGGTGGATAACCCCCTGCGGGCGGATAACCCCTGTGGTGTAGGGTCGAGGTATACCCCCTGTGGTGTACGGGCAGCAGGTCGGTGTATACCCCCTGTGGCGCGGGGGCGGGTGGGGTGTATACCCCCTGTGGCGACGGGCAGGTCGGTGTATACCTGTGCCGGGTCTGTATACCTGTAGCTGGGCAGGTCGAGGGTGTATACCCCCGTGGCTGCACGGGCAGGTCGATGTATACCCCACCTGTGTACGGGCAGGTCGCAGGTGTATACCCCCACCTGTGGCTGTGGCACGGGCAGGTCGGTGTGTATACCCCACCTGTATGCGTCACGGGCAGGTCGAGGTCTATACCTGTGGTTAGGGCAGGGGTGTATACCCCCGGTCGAGGCGGGCAGGTGTGTATACCACCCAGTGTGTGCACGGGCAGGTGAGGTGTATACCGCAGTGGTTAATGGGGCAGGGTCGGGGTCGTATACCCCCATGGTGTACGAGAGCAGGTCGTGGGTGTATACCTCCCCTCCCCGGGCGGGTCGGGGTGTATACCGTGGCGTCTGGCGGTTGGGGTGTATACGGTTGGCGTGGCGCGCACGGGCAGGTCGAGGTGTATACGGGTCGGGGTGGTATATGCGGGCGGGTGGTGTGTATACCCCCAGTGGGCGGTGTCTGTGAGGGTGTATACCCCCCAGCCGGGTGGTGTACGGGCAGGTCGAGGTGTATACCCCCTCGTGGAGATGCGGGCCGGGTCGGGGTGTATACCCCTGTGGTGTGCGGGCGGGTCGGGGTGTATACCCCCCTCCCCAGTGGTTAATGCGGGCGGGTCGGTGTATACCCCCCAGTGGCGCATGCCGGGCAGGTCGGGGTGTATACCCCGGTGGCGTGGGGTGTATGGGCAGGTCGACGGGTCGTATACCCGGTGTGGCGATGCGGGCGGGTCGGGCCCCCGGGGGGCGTCTGTGAGGGCGGGTGTATACCCCAGTGTGATGCAGCGGCGGGTCGAGGTGTATCCCCTTGGCGTGCGGGCGGGTCGGGGTGTATACCCCGGTGGGCGAGATTAGAAGGTGTATACCGGTGCGGCGGGCGGGTCGGGGTGTATACCCCGGTGGGCGTCGCGGGCGGGTCGGGTGTGTATACCCCCGTGGCGATGCGGGCGGGTCGGTGTATACCCCCGGTGTGGCGATGCGGGCGGGTCGAGGGTGTATACCCCCAGTGGTGTGCGTGGTTGTGCGGTGTACGGGTCGGGGTGTATGCCCGTGGTTATGCAGGGCGGGTCGAGGGGTGTATGCCACCCCCCCAGTGGTGTACGGTGGTATGGGCGGGTCGGGGTGTATGCCACCCCCATGCGGACGGGTCGGGGTGTATGCCAGTGGTTATGCGGGCGGGTCGGGGGTGTATGCCGCAGTGGTGTGCGGGCGGGTCGGGGTGTATGCCCCCATGTGTTATGCGGGCGGGTCGAGGGTGTATACCCCGTGGCGCGGACGGGTCGGTGTATATACCCCAGTGGCGACGTGGTGTGCGGACGGGTCGGGGTGTACCCAGTGTGATGCGGACGGGTCGGGGTGTACAGTGCGGGCCGGGTCGGGGTGTACACGTGGATGCGGACGGGTCGAGGTGTATACCCCCCCAGTGGCGTACGGGCAGGTCGAGGTGTATACCTCCCCCCCTCCTTGTGGTGTATGGGGCAGGTTGAGGTGTATAACCCTTCGCGTAGATATGTAGGATGGTAGCTCACTCTGTATACCTCATTGGATGGATATGTAGGTGGTAAATCAGCATGTATTTCATGTGGTGTATGTATATGGGGTAGTTCAGTATTAGTACTTTATGAGTTGGATATCTACGGGGCAGCTCAGGGGGTGTACCGCTGGGAGTAGATGCCCAGGGGGCATGTCAGTGTGTAAACCACTTGAGTTGTATATGTGAGGGGCAGGTCAGTGTGCATGTGTTAGAGCTGATATGCACAATGTTTTTTGTGGTTGAATTGGTTTACGTGTTGCAGGGTGTGACGGACACAGTAAGCGGTCACCATGGTTGAGGGGAGATAGGGACTGCTCCCTCCTCGAAGTGACCCTCGCTTCCCAAGCACAGTGTTTCCTATAAACCTGTTAACTCCTGCTGTGCTGCTGCATTCTTCATGGGTGGGATATAATGGCATTGCTATGCTCTGTCTGCTCCTTTTTAACCCCTTAAGGACACATGACATGTGTGATATGTCATGATTCCCTTTTATTCCAGAAGTATGGTCCTTAAGGGGTTAAAGGAAGGGTTTTGCGCAAGTCAATCCTTCTATTACATAATTTTAGCGCCAGTGTCGTCATTTTTATCCCTGTTAGTGTGCGTGCATCATTCTACGCAATGTTCACTCTCTGCAGTCAGAAGCTGTTGGAGGTTTTTAATATTACTCTCTTCTGGTGAACCAGGAACTCTGCTTTTGGGATTTAAAATCTTCAAAAATCCCAAATTAAGCTCTAAAAAGAGGCAAAGCAGGAGGTGTTTGCACAATTTTAAAAGGGGGGACAATTAAATTATTTTTCTTTCTTGTGCTGGGGCTGCATTGGGTCACACCTTTTAAAAGTGTTTTTTTTTTTTTTTGTTTTTTAACATGTAATATTTAATATTACTGGTTGCATGAAGCTTGTTTTTTTAGATCACACTATGGATGCACCTGTCCTTTGATCCCCTGCAAATACAATGGCAATTTTATACGTTGAACAGCAAATTGCCGCAATATTGGCAGGAAATCGCAGCATTTAAACCTAAAACGGCAAAGCAGAAGACATTTCCCGGCTACTTTTCCAGGTCGATTATTGTCCTACATTTTTTGCAGGTCCCTTGCCACGTCTCTCCCCAATTGACTGCTTAGTGAATACAAAGTGTGGAGCTATGTGCGAGCTCTGTTTGTGTTTGGAGTCTTCCAGCAGGCTCTCTGTGTAATGATCTAGATGAGCGTATCGTACATGGCATGTCCTATTGCTGCTGCCCATACTTTAATCATATAATCCACCCAGCCCTGCAAGGTGTCTCTGCGTTCTCCCTTCCTTAGAAGAGGGGGGTCTAAGGGGGGCAGGCAGATATCCGGGAAGGGAGGGGTGAGTGCCCACCTGTCCTATTTTTCAGCCTGGCCCTGCAGGGATTTCTCAGAGAACCTGTCGGTTTGGTGGGGTGGGTGCGGCCTGAGGTCTCATCCTAAACAGTGGGTGGAGCGCAGTCTGACTATGATCCTACCACCCAGTCTCACCTGGTTAACCTGTTCCATACCGAATATATAAAGCAGAAAATCAGGTCATCTTTAACAAGCGGCAAATGGAGGGGAAATCCTCCTTTATAATTGTGTTAGGACATTGGGGTGTATTTTTGTTTGTGTTTTTCTTTGTTTCCTTGTAGCCTCCCTTACAGTTTTATGGAACTCAACTACCATGTAAAAAAATTTTTTAAAAAATATTTTATTATTATTAATATATATATATATTATTTTTATTTATTTTTTTTTATGAAAAATCATGGGTGCTTTAAAATAGGTTGTTTGTAATGTCTGTTATCAAGCCATTTGTTCCTAAAGCAGAAGCTGTTGTTTCAACACTTCCTATAGAACATGAAATCTTAATGGAGGGAGAAGAGTCCTGAGTGTGGGCTAGTGGCTGGCATATCCCTGCTTGGAGTGTGTGGGCAGGTTAGTGTATTGGCATTTCCACTGATGTGTGACATCCTTTTGGCTAATAAGAAGGTGCTGACGCTCTGTGCCATTCTCTGCTTTTGTTACAGACTGGTAGAAGGCTAGTTACTTGGAGATATTGTGGGTATGTGGTCATTGCGCAGGCTAGTTGTCTCTGGTTTAGGACAGGTGTACCCTATGTCTTTGTTTACTACAAGTCATTGTCCTTGGCCGTAAAGTACATATTTTATGGCAGTCTCTGGCTTTAGCAGACAGGATTTGGCCAGTGGTGCTGTGCTTATAGTATGCTCTGTTGGTTATGTACCAGTGGATCCTCTCCAGTGTACTTGACGGGAGGGCAGTGATGGTGTGCCAGTAGTCTCTTGCTGTAGCAAATGATATGTAATAAATTTTGATGTGTTGGAGAACCATAGCTGTAGCACACAGGAACCAGTCAGTAGTGGCAGAGGTGTTCACAGACTACTGCTCTACTACAAATGTCTGTCTGGGCAATGTTGTATAACGGCAATCCCTGATTACACCAAACATCTGAGAAATGGTGGTGTACTGATTGTTCCAACCATGGTATCTGCTCAGTTATGGTGTGTTGGTTTCTCTTGCCATGGTTTTTAGTCAGTGATGGTTTGTTGGTAGTCTCTGCTTTGGTATTTTTTTTTGTTCAGTGGTAGTGAGTTAGTTGTTGCTGCCATAGAGTCTGTTCAGTGACTTTTTGCTGAGGTTCCTGGCATGGTATCTGCTCAGTGACCGTATGCTTATGGTTCATGCCATGGTATCTGGTCAGTGATGCTGTGCTGGTAGTCCCTAAGAGTAGCCCATGCTAGCCTGGCAATGATTGTTAGTTGGTTGTTGCTGTCATAGTGTCTGTTCCCCGGGCATGTGCTGATGGTTTCTACCATGGTTCTGCTCAGTGGTGATGTACTGGTTGTTCCAGCCATGATATTTGTTCAGGGACTGTGTGCTGATGGTTCCTGCCATGGTATCGGCTCGGTGGTGATGAGCTGGCTGTTTCTGCCATGGTGTCGGCTCGGTGGTGATGAGCTGGCTGTTTCTGCTATGGTGTCGGCTCGGTGGTGATGAGCTGGCTGTTTCTGCCATGGTGTCGGCTCGGTGGTGATGAGCTGGCTCTTCCTGCCATGGTGTCGGCTCGGTGGTGATGAGCTGGCTGTTTCTGCCATGGTGTCGGCTCGGTGGTGATGAGCTGGCTCTTCCTGCCATGGTGTCGGCTCGGTGGTGATGAGCTGGCTCTTCCTGCCATGGTGTCGGCTCGGTGGTGATGAGCTGGCTCTTCCTGCCATGGTGTCGGCTCGGTGGTGATGAGCTGGCTCTTCCTGCCATGGTGTCGGCTCGGTGGTGATGAGCTGGCTCTTCCTGCCATGGTGTCGGCTCGGTGGTGATGAGCTGGCTCTTCCTGCCATGGTGTCGGCTCGGTGGTGATGAGCTGGCTCTTCCTGCCATGGTGTCGGCTCGGTGGTGATGAGCTGGCTGTTCCTGCCATGGTGTCGGCTCGGTGGTGATGAGCTGGTTCTTCCTGCCATGGTGTCGGCTCGGTGGTGATGAGCTGGCTCTTCCTGCCATGGTGTCGGCTCGGTGGTGATGAGCTGGCTCTTCCTGCCATGGTGTCGGCTCGGTGGTGATGAGCTGGCTCTTCCTGCCATGGTGTCGGCTCGGTGGTGATGAGCTGGCTCTTCCTGCCATGGTGTCGGCTCGGTGGTGATGAGCTGGCTCTTCCTGCCATGGTGTCGGCTCGGTGGTGATGAGCTGGCTCTTCCTGCCATGGTGTCGGCTCGGTGGTGATGAGCTGGTTGTTTCTGCCCAGTGACTGTGTGCTGTTAGTCCCTAAGGGAAGCTCATTCTATTCAAGCAATGATTTTGATGGTGGTCCCTGACTGTGGTGGAATGCCAGGAATCCATATCTATAGCATCTGGCCATTGGTAGTGTGCCGGCGGTCCCTGCTTGTGGTAGTCCTGTTGTTCTTATCTCCGCTCTTTCCTGCAAGCATTGCTCCCTTATCTCCCCGCTCCTGTTTGTTTGGTGCTTGGCAGTGCCCTGACAGCTAAACGTTTGGTTTCCATGGGTCCTTTAAACAGAAAGCAGTGTGTGCTCCTTCTCTTTACCTGTTTCTTCTGCTTACCCCTCATTGCATCACGTCTTACGTCATAATCTTCTACTGTATCTTTACCTTCCCACCATCAGCCACGTAATTCTTATCTTACCCCCTTGTTAAATATCCCAGTATCACTCTGCCCCATTACGCTGTCAAGTCACCACACCCAGCCCAGGGAGTTATAATTATGTAAGGTAATGAACACATGAGACGGCAGGGCCTCGATGGAAGGCAAGGTCTATGACCGAAATGCACACTACTGTTTGTTTGGGTAAACCCCCGTGACTCTGTATCCTGTCAGATGTGCAGACTCTGCTGTTTTGTGTCCCCTGTCTCTCCTCTCCACCCAGAGACCCCTCTTTAGTCACTCCTGTAAGCCTGTGGTCTGCACAGCTCTATTTAGCCTTTTTCACTTTGACTCAAAACCAAGATTGCGACACCCACCTAACAATGAGAAGACATGGTGGGGGAGGGAGGATGCCATGTCCTCTTATTAAAAGTCCCCTTTTTTTTCTCTTTAGGGCTGGGGGAGTATATTTCAAATGTTTGGTTTCTTATGCATGTGATTTCAGGGTCTGACTCAGCTGATCTCTCACCCACACCCTCCTGCACCCATAATCCTTCTTTTTAACCCCCCCCCCACCTCTGATACTGGCGCCCCTCCCAGTGTTCTGCCTTATCAGGCATGGGACCACCACTTCAAATCTCTGGCTTGTGCTACAGGCTCTTGGCGTCTTAGTGACTTGTTCAGATTAAGAGAATGGGATCCTTGTAAACGAGGCTTGTTGCAGTATGAACCGAAGTATTTCAGTGCTTGGAGTAGTCTATAGAGTAGTCTTGCACTGAAAGCATTGGTTGTTACGCAGCAGAAGACGTGGTTATGAGTTAACCATTAACACTGTGAGAGATGGCAAGGAGAGCCACTCAAGAGCTTGCAATCTAAATGAGTAGACCATCACCCAGCTGTCTTTTAGATCCATGTCACATGCTGTAATAAGAGGAAGTACAGAGGGTCCCACTTCCTTTTTTAATAAATTCTGACTGTTACTAAAATGCGACCAGAGGGGAGCCACTGCCTCTCTTGCGTTCCCTTTTTCTATCTCTGCTGGGTTACGTCTCTGTCTCCAGCCCTGTCCCGTGTTGTGTTGGTTATTTATTAATATTTATTTTTTCTTTCATCTTCTCTTCCTTTTGGGTCTTTCACTTTTGGTCTCTGCCACTTATTCTCTATGCGGTTTGTGTCCTTTTCTGTGCGACTCTCACACTTTTGTGGGTCTCTGTCTCCCAATCTCTTTGTGACTTGTTGCTGTCTAATTTGTGCCTCTGTCTCTCTATCTCAAAGTGTCTTTCATGCCCGCTTTGTGCCTCTCCAGCTCTTTCTCGTTTTGTGGTCTCTTTCATGATCTGTCTGTCTCGTGGTCTCTCAAAATTTTCTGTTTTGCTATCTCTAGGTCTCTGTCTAGGTTTCGTACTCTGTGGGTTTCTCCCCCTCTCTCTCTTTTTGTGGTCTCTCTCGCTCTCTGCCTTTGTGCCTCTCTGTCTTGCTCTCACGTCTTTGTCTCCTGTGGGTAAACACAAGCCTTCTTGTGGGTCCTTGCCAGGATAAGGGGGGGGAGGAGGGGCTGCTGTGCCAGTATCCTGGTGCACACTGCCAACAGGGCGTTGTGTTTGTTCAGTCTACCTGTACCCCTCACCTTCTCCTAGGGGTGGGGGCTTTTTATTTTTTATATCCAGGGAGGGTGGTGAGATCGGTTTGATTTCTCTCCCACCGACCCTCCGGATTAATTTTATGTTGGGTATGTTATTTTTATCTTAACTCTGTATTTGTCCTTTTTATAAAAAATAAATAAAAATCTTTTCATTTGTAGAGACCAGCTATTTCTTGTTTTTGAGCAAGGGACTGTAATATAGTGAAACTTCAGTTTCTGGGCCCCAGGCCCTCAATCCCTGTTTCTATATGTTTTCGTACCTCAGTATAGTTTGACAGAGCTGTGGTGTGACTGTACTTTTCATTACAATCCCCTGCCTTAAAAGAGCAAGTGAAACGATTTGTTGGCCGTTTTGAGGGAAAAATAGAAACCGTGATCTTAAAATGCATCCCCCCTGCTGCAGCTCAGCTAATGCAATAGTGGACTTCCATATTAGGTGTCCAGTTTTGTACATCATCGAGGGATGAGCGTCCTGAGGGCAGGATTGGTAATTCTCAAATAGCCAAGAACCATATTGAAGGATAAACCCTGTTTGCCCCATGCTCTGCTCTCTCCCCTGGATGATAATCTGGCTCCATCCTGTTCCTGATTCTTTATGGTTGGGCACAGTGCTATATTTTGCTATTGGCCAAGTGCACGCTGCCAACTCTATTGCCCTTGCCAGCTTTCCCATGAGTGAGCTCTATTTCATTGTTCTGTGGGATCTCTCCTCTTATCAGAGCCCCCTCGTTTGAGTTCAATCAAACTTAGACTGGCTTGTTCATCATCTTCTGTCCTTTGAGTAAGATGAGCCATCGGATCTCGGCGTTCCACTGTGTGAGAGGAGCCCCTTGTACCTTACATCCCCAAAGTGAGATGATTCCTCCCCCCCCCCCCCTAATCTAAGCTTTTTTTGTGTGCCAAGATTTGTGTAAAATGTCAGTGCTGGAGTTTGGAGATATCTGCTCTGGGTATAGAGTTCTGTATGTGTTTTGGGTCGGCTGCCTGGATAGTTTTTTGTTTCAGGGCGATTATTGCTTTGCCCAAGGTGTTGCTGTTGATGGACAGTCAGATCACCGGGCATATACAGTGTTGCGTGACTCGTACAGGGGGTTGTTACAAGCCCCTGAATGGGAGCGGCAGGCAGATCAGGCCAAAGTCCTTCCAACTACGACCATAAAAGCAGAAGGCCCGCCCATCCTCGCTTCTTTGTGTGTGGGGGAGGGGGGTCTAAGAGCACCTGGGCTCACATCTAACACCTTTTTCTTTATCTTTTAATTGTCCTTGGTGTAATGTATTGTGCCCTGCCTTGGTGGTTATTAACCTCTGCACTACCAGAATGGTCAGAATCCCAAACCTCGGTGTGCTGGAGAAAATCACCTGTGTCCTAAAACTGGCCCCCTGCACGCTTACTGCGCCGCCTTTGCAAACACTGCTCGAAAACACGACCGACTGATTAAAGTAAACTCTATAAGGACCGAAAGATTTGTGGTTTCTTTATGAACAGCGGTTTGTGGAATTATACCTGGCGGAATCTGCTCAACATAAAAAACATTAAATTGTTTCCAAAGAGATATATTTACCGCTTGAAGTTCGGAATAAGTAATTTAGTTCTGACTCTGTATGCATCAGAAAAATCCCAATGTCACGGAAATAAATCGCCATTCATAGGCCTATGCTAATAGCAGCAGTGCTGTTACAGTATCAGTATATAAGAATTTAGCCTTAAATAATTTATTAAATAAGCATAAAACCACGCACGGGCGCCTAATATTCAGACATTGGGCGATATTTATCAAAGTTTTCTGAAAAGTGACTTATTCTGCCATTATTTTAATTGAATTTTTTTTTTAATTTTTTTTTTTTTTTGGGGGGGTTTAGGAAGTGACCGCTTTTTTTGTTTTTCGTAGAAAAATCCTCCAGTATTTGCTGAAATTTCAAATTCAGAAGACTACCAAATTTATAGCGGCGGTGAAAGTCTGGTATTTTTCTGTATTTGGAAGAAATAAATAGACTATATTCAAAAATAATGGTTAGACCACGAAAAAAGCAACAGGTGGGAGATTTAATAAATTGGGCCAAAAAATAACAGAAAGTTAGACTGAAAAGAATCAGTGACACTTTGATGAATCATCTCAAACGTGGTGAATGACATCCAGCATCACATAATGGTCATGTGAGCTTACAGTCTTACAGCAGTTCGCTAACCTCAACACCACTTATTTATTTTCTGTTGTGGTTTTCATGGTGCCCAGCAAGCCAGTCGTTTTAACTGATCACCATGGGGAAATTTGGTGTACAAACACCTGGGGTGCAAAGTAAAGCCGTCACTGATTTAACAGTCTAATGGCAGAACCTTGGTTTCTATTGCTATAATGGGATGTGCTGTGACATGGGACTCTCTCCTCAAATATACAGCTTCCAGTGAGGTTTTATAATTTGCATAGCCATTTTTTGAATCTCAGACCCTATCCAAAGGGGTTTAAAAGCAAGTGGCACAATAGTTGTTGCTGGGTGATTTGTATCTTATTAATATAATTTTATTTGTTTTTCTATATACCTGACCTATTGTTTCAAACACATTCCAAGTCCCAAAAGAATTTCATGTCTATTACTTGTAGCAAAGGAGTCCCCTCCTTATTTTTTATTTTCTTTTTCACATTGCACCTGAACTCTACTGCGAATCAGTGGAAATCCCGCCAGGTGGCTGCCATCCAAAACCCGTTTAATACCCCGTCTGCCTGGCATTTTTCTCAGGTTTGAATGGAAGGTGTGCCTCTAATCTGTTGGACCCATTCTTGTTCAGACCAGGTGGGACCGGAACACCCTCCCTACGTGTTTGTCTGTGCCGCCCTACACCCGTAAAGCCGCTGGGATTGTTGTGGAGATCATCTCTTCCAGTGTAAGATAATTGAAGCCTGCTCTTCTGACACACTGTGGCATCCAGGATATGTAATTACGGGGCAGGCAGCGGTCATTAAGATTCCTGTGCTGTGAGGTCAAACCATCCTATAGGCATGTCCCTAATTAATGCTGGATGCTCAATGTGCAATCAACGAACGCTTTAGGTATCTTGAGTCAAAGAGTGTCCTGTCCAAGCGGTGGCTGGACTTTACTGTGAGTGACAGTTGGTAGCTCTCCAGCTGGTCTGGCAAAGCATCTTGGGAGTTTGAGTTCTACAGCCGATGAAGAGCTACTTGTGGGTTGTTTATGTGCATCACGTCAATAACCAGACAACCCTGAAAAAATGATGTCTTAAGAGTATATGTGCTAAGCTCTCCGAACCTTCAATGTCTCAAGCTACATTTAATTGTATCTTTTTTTTTTATTTTTTATTATTATTATTTATTTATTTTCATTACTCCTTAAATCCACTTCCTTGGAATGAATTAACTCTATCGAAAAAAGAAAATTAGTTTGTCATTCACAGTGAATCTGTGCTGTGATCCTATAACCTCCTTTCTAGTTTCTCCAAATATAAGGGTCTACCTTTTGTCCTTTAAACCATTTGCGTGCGACAGGGTGTATGTTACCTGTACAAAGTACATATCACCCTGCTAGAAGATTTTTTGTGAAAACCATTTTTTTATTTTTTATTTTAAAGCAGCAATGTGTGGAGTGACATGGACGTCCAAAAATATATTTGTATTGGAAGTACACCACACAGTGGCTGACCTCAGTATGACGGGTGCTCAATGGAGATTGTATTTCCTCCAGACACTATTCCAATTTCTCTCTTAATGAGCATTGTATTCTGTCATTTTTTTTAATAATCTTACCTTACCCCAAGGGGTACCAATAGATAAAGTTTCCTTTTTTTCTTTTTTTTTTTCTTTTTCTTCTTCTTAAATTGTGCACTTCTATTTATAAACCCTTTCAGATTCAAACCTGGATGCTGCATGTTGTGTTGTGGTGGTGTTTTTTTTTATTATATAGATTTATCTTACTTCAGTAGAAGTTTCTTGTCATTCACCTTTTTAGAAAGGGAAAAAAAACAACAAAGTAATTTTCTTCATTTTAAGCCCAGGTTTGTTTACCGTATAATGGTCTACCTTTTCTAGTGGCAGGAAGCTTTCTTGTTGATGTTAACACCGCTCCACTGTCATCCTCGTCAACTTCCCCGTAACCTGTGTAATGATGTACCATATACTGACCCCCTTCCTGCAGTGGAAAAATCTAGATGTTCTGCTTTCTTCCTTATCTAACCTAGTCTGAAAAACAAGTAAAAGGATGTCCCACCCCCTCCTTCAATTCTCCCTTCCCCTCCACCCCCACCGTTTCTTCTCTCACCCCCAACTTCAAAGGGTTAACTCGGCATTCTCCCCTATTCAGTTCTGGGAAGTTTGATCGTGGGCGTCATTTTCGAAATAAAAAAAATCATTTAGTTTTCAGAGGTGGAATTTTGGGGTTTAACTTTGGTTCTTTTTTTATTTTAAATTTTTTTTGTTATATAGTTTTTACTCAATTTTTGTTGTTTTTGTTTCTGTCTCTGGCAGCCGTCGTTTGGTTGCGTCAGACGCCCTCCGACCAAGCTCGGGGAGCAGGAACCTGCTGTGCTGATCTGGGCCACCAAACAACTGTGAGCGAGGACGAAAAGACTAAAAGAACGAGGGAGCAAGGACGACGAGGCTGACACCCCAGGTATGATTGCAAGGCCTAACCGGTCTACCCCTGTAGGACATGCCCAGTCTATACTGAACCTTATACAATTGACTTACCTTTTCTAACCAAATCCTGCATTGTTTGTTTATTTTAAGTGGCCATGTTTCATCGTACAGTCAGGGATGGGTCAAATGCCTGAACAAGTTCTCATTTTGCACATTCTTAAATGTCTGTCATTGGGTGGATCAGTGACTCCACACCCCGACTAATGAGTAAATGAGTTGATGATTCCCCACGACACCTTGCAAGTCCTGCATGTGTACAGTCAGAGGGTCTCTTCACTAAACCTGTCTTAATAAGGTGTCCTTTCGATGGTGTTCGTGTCCTTCACCATCTTTTGTCGAAGGGATGCTTAGCAGATATTTTTTTGATGATTAAGCTTCAAATCGTACAATGTCATGGCCACTTGTGTAACGTTTTGAAATGTGGCCCACACATTTTTAAGGCATTTTTGACTCCACAGGTTACTGAGAAACTTAAATAAACCTAGGTATTTCTTTCTCACTTTTTTAATTTTAATATTTTTTTTAGAGTAATTACTTATTTGAGCTTAATGTATAAGATACATGGAACCCATCAAAAGAGATCTATTTTTCTAATATATATATATATATTTTTTTTTGTAGTCTGCTCCGATCTTGTCTATAAACTCCCTTCACTGGGTATTTTCTCTGATCAATCAATGAATCGTGCTCTGCCCGTTACTTGGGTCTTCAAATATTGCAGAATTGGTTGTTATATGTAAAATCTGTATGGTCTATTGTGTGCAGGATTTGTTCTTTATTAATGATTTATTGGTGATTTTACAGTTTGCAAAGTCATTTATTATTGTATGAAGACATCATCTCACAAAGGAAACTACTTATTTTTTCATTTCGGTTCATGGGGAATCTAGTGCAATCACAGTGAGAGAAGCATATACTGATTTTACATGGTTTGATAGTATATTCGTAATAATACAGTGCAGTGTGAGCAGTCTATTACATGATCTGATATTACAGTAGTGATAAAATGCAGTGTGAGCAGCTTATTACATGGTCCGATATTACAGAATGGATGCAATGCAGTGTGAGCAGCTTATTACATGGTCCGATATTACAGAATGGATGCAATGCAGTGTGAGCAGCTTATTACATGGTCCGATATTACATTATTAATACAATGCAGTGTGAGCAGCTTATTACATGGTCTGATATTACATTATTAATACAATGCAGTGTGAGCAGCTTATTACATGGTCTGATATTACAGTAGTGATACAATGCAGTGTGAGCAGCTTATTACATGGTCTGATATTACAGTAGTGATACAATGCAGTGTGAGCAGCTTATTACATGGTCTGATATTACAGTAGTGATACAATGCAGTGTGAGCAGCTTATTACATGGTCCGATATTACAGAATGGATGCAATGCAGTGTGAGCAGCTTATTACATGGTCTGATATTACAGTAGTGATACAATGCACGTGAGCAGCTTATTACATGGTCTGATATTATAGTAGTGATACATTGTAGTATAAGCAGTTTATGACATGCATTACAGTCTGAACTCAGTGTAGTGTGAGCAGCTTATTACAGCTTATTACATGGTCTGATATTACAGTAGTGATGCAATGTGAGCAGCTTATTGCAAGGTATGTATTACAGTATTGATCCAATGTAGTATAAGCAGTTTGACATGGTCTGTATTACGGTATGAATTCAGTGCAACGTGAGCAGCTTATTACATGGTGTGATATTACAGTAGTGATGCAATGTGAGCAGCTTATTACATGGTGTGATAATATAGTACCAATACAATGCAGTGTGAGCAGCTTATTATTTGGGCTGATATCACAGAATGAATTCAATGCAGTGTGAGCAGCTTATTACATGGTGTGATATTACAGTAGTGATGCAATGCAGTGCGAGCAGCTTATTATATGGTCTGATATTACAGTAGTGATACAATGCAGTGTGAGCAGCCTAGTACATGGTTTGATAATATAGTACCAATACAATGCAGTGTAAGCAGTTTATTACATGGTCTGAAGTTGCATTGTGAGCAGTCTCTGTCATTCCTGGAGGTTGCAGTCTGTGTGCTAATGCCAGGTCTAATAGCTTATGATCTTTATGCATTGTCTGAGTACTGGAGGTAAAATAGATGTAGCTGCTCCGACTCATAAAGGCAAATCTATCGGTGAAGAAACCTTTTGTGTTTTAAAATGTCGCTAGGACCACCTTTGACGGAAGGGTAATGAGGATTAGCCCCTGTATTATAGAATTACATATTCTGCTTATTTGTGGTTTGGCACTGAAGCCAAGAAGTGAGACAGATCTGTGCAGAGTATCTTAAAACTGCCTTATTGCTATGTGTGGGCCCTCGGAGGACCCAGCCTATGTACCCCTTCCAATAGCACTCAATCCAGCTTGCTCCAGAAGATGCCAGTCTGTGGGTATTAGCCAGGTGGGCTGTGGAGATGCCAGTATCCCTTTGAACTTTCCACATTAATGAAGCCATGCTATGTTTCCTGAGACAGTTGCAGAGACTGTTAAAGTATTGAGAGCCTGAACGTCTAGACCTAGGAGCTTACTCTCTATATCATATGTTTGTTTTAACTCATGCTTTTACTTGTAGGCTTTGTTTGGCAAGCCCCTCGTTGAACAGGTCTATCTGGCTCTCAGTCCCTTTCCTCCCCACACACCCACCCTTCTGAAAAATATAAGGAGGGGCCCTAGTCTATTGTCCTCAATGCTGGGGGCCAGGGAGGGGATACGGGGCTTTTGAAATTGTTTTGATTGGCTAACATGCAATGGCTCTAGCCCTAACTAACCTACTTTCCCAATCCGTGACTGTAGATAAGGTCTCCATGCACCCTGTGTATTTCACCTGTAATGTTTCCATTTGTTTCTGCACCTGCAGCCAGTGGCAAAACTGTTGCCCACCCATCCCTTAGTGATCACACCTAGTGATTCTGTATGTATCAACTACTAGGATAATGTAGTCACTGCTTGGGGTGCGGAGATCTGTATAAGACACAACCAAGCTATAAGGGGCCAAATAAGCACAGGCACGACGTTTCTCCTCTTGAGTCAGAAAAGAAATGGGATGATTCATATTGAGGAAACATTGTACAAAAAATAAGGTACTGTTTTGTTCTGGAGTAGATTGGCATTGCTCTGGAAATAAAATAGACGTGCGGTGTTGTTTCCCCCTGGGGGGGGGGGCGCAAAGAAAGTACAAGCACAGGATCACACAGCTAGCTACAGAACGCAGTTTGAGCTAGAATGTACAGGAAGGGAGGTGGCAAAGATGAAAAGAAAATGTATAGGCACGTAGCAGGATATAGGGCTAAACTATCAAATAAATCCAGCGTTATTTACCAATGTGGCAATTGTCAAACTGAATTCTGAAATTTCAAATTTAAGGCCAAAGTAGTCGATCTTTAAGTATAACTGACTGGAACATTTCCAGTTTAGCAAGTTTGGGCTTAAGTTTGAAATTCACTTTGAATTTACAACAATTTTCCGTTTTAATAAATAATCCTGATTATTGGTAGGGTCAAAAATAATGTATGTGGCTGAGGCCATTATGGGGGGAGTGCTATACTGACATAGCTGGGCTTGTCTTCAATTTTTTTTTCATTAAAGCTGCTGAGTAACTTAGTTTTATTAGTGTATTTAAAAAAAAAAAAAAATAATAATAATTATGTTGATTGCGCTCTATTAAAACTTATTTATATATTTTTTTTCCTCCCCACTTACCCCCTTTTTTCATTTATTTTTTGCAGGTGACGATGGCTAGCTCAGAAGACGAGCTGATTGGGATACCATTCCCGGAGCACAGCAGTGATCTCTTGAGCAGCTTGAATGAACAGCGGCATCGTGGTGTACTGTGTGACATCACTATTAAGACACGGGGCCTCGAGTACCGCACCCACCGTGCAGTTCTAGCAGCTTGCAGCCATTACTTCCGCAAACTCTTCACAGGCATTCATCCTGGAGCTCCTTTTAGGGACGTATGTCAGCTGGACTTCCTAAAACCAGATGCACTGGGGGCCTTGCTGGACTTTGCTTACACAGCCACCTTGACAATCAGCAATGCCAACATGCGAGATGTTCTGCATGCTGCCCGCCTTTTGGAAATCCCATGTGTGGTAGACGCTTGTGTGGAAATACTACAGTGTAATGGTGACCGCGAGGTGTTGGGAGGAGATGCCGAGGATCTGGAAGGATTTCTACGTGCCCGACAATACTTAGAATGTTTTATGCTGCAGGAAAATGGAGAAGACACCACTCCCCCACCGGAGACCAACTGCTCCCCACATTCTCTGTCCACAGATTTACCGCAGAAACCTTTGCAGCTTATTCCACGCCGCCGAAGAAAGAAGTTCTTGCAGGTGAAGCCCAGTAGCCGAATGCCGAATGGGAGTCCGTATCGTATAATAGAAGATATAAAAGAAAGGGCGGTCAGCCCCCAAGAAGCTCCCTCGCCTCAAGAGTTTCCTCCTCCTGAAACCAATCTCTCATATGAAAGGTACGCAACAGACAACCCACCAATCTTCATTCCACCCTCTCCTCCTGACGAGATCCTGTCTGACGAGGAACCTTCGGATGTGGGTTTTCTGCACCAGATGGACTCCGAGAACCCTGACCTGGCTGCTTCTTCTCTGGATGGATCTGATAAGTTGGTACGGAAGAGGAGGTCACAGATGCCCCAGGAGTGCCCTGTCTGCCACAAAATAATCCATGGGGCAGGCAAATTACCACGCCACATGCGCACCCACACCGGGGAAAAACCGTTTGTGTGCCAGGTCTGCGGAGTAAGGTTTACCAGGTGGGTACGGTAGCAAATAGTCAGGATTTCAAAGTGAATTCAAAATGTTTTCTTTTTTGATATTTTGATCTAAAATTTGGAATTCATTTTAAATTCTCAGCATTTCACACTGTAAATATTGCACTGCCCCCTCCTGTTTTTTGTGTGTGTTTAGCTGTGTTTTTTAGATCTCGTTTCAATATTTCTCATCAGTGACTCTTCAAGTTTCAGTTGGCATAACACTTTTTTACCCTCTTGCTACTTTTTAACACTATTTGCTTAGTTGACATGCCTCTCCTTGTCTGTCCACTCTTCCAACCTTGACCCTTCCTGTGTAACTCTCATGTAAATTTTTTTTTTGTTTTTTTTCTAGAAACGATAAGTTGAAGATTCACATGAGGAAGCACACAGGGGAGCGGCCGTACTGCTGTGAGCACTGTAGCGCTCGCTTCTTGCACAGCTACGATCTAAAGAATCACATGCACCTCCACACAGGTGACCGCCCCTATGAGTGCTCGCTGTGTCACAAGGCATTTGCCAAGGAAGACCATCTGCAACGTCACATGAAGGGGCAAAATTGCCTAGAGGTTCGCACCCGTCGCAGGCGCAAAGAGGAACCTCCTCAACAACACCTACTCCCTGCCACTGGCCTCGACCTCTCCAATGGGAAGATTGATGACCTGCGTCTCTCTATGATCCGCTACTTCGGCATTCCGCGGGCTCACTCCGGGGAAAGGAGCCCAGAGCAGCCCCTGATTTTGGATGCCTCATAGTCTTCATCCAGGCAACCCTTGGTTCACACCCTGGAAATGGGTGGAAGTTTGAGTGATTTTTAGTCCATTGCAGCACTTCTGCTAAATCCCGCCACAGAAGTCTCCTCGACCTCCCCACTGCTCCCCTAAATATCTGTTGGGGGCTCTTTTTCACCTATTCCCCAGCCTGCAACTGTTGTGTGAGCAATTCCACACTCCCTATCAAACTCGTTACACCCTGGAACTGACTTTAAAGGTTTTGGGCCCTCATGGGCCTTGAAGGGGACTTTTGGAGGAAGGGGGACGGAGGGGCGTTTTTCCTAAGCCTCAGGGATCATTAAATTCAGCCTCTCCCAGACGAGGCGTATCTTTCCAAATGCGCTACTCCTTACCTAGGATAAGATATTGATAATTACTATTTTTTATTGAATGAGATATATAATATATACTGTGTCTGTATATAGAGAAGAAGATGCATATATATATAAAAAATATATATATTAAGAATTATATATATGGATATAAAATGCATAGAATTTAAGGCTGACTGAAGTAAAAGCAATAATTATTTGTTATTTGGCTGTTTGGATGAAATTGTCTTTGGTTCTCCTGTGGAGGTGATGAAATGGGGGGATTCTGCTGTGTTTTTGCCCTGCTCCCCCTCACTATGGTGCTGTGCCTTCTGCGACTGCGAGATCACCCCCTTTATCCTTGCACTATTTAACCCCTTCTTTATTGATTACTTTGTACAGCTCACCTGTTTTCAATGACCGAATTTGTCCCTGCTTGTTCCTGCTGATTGGGTAGCTGTCTAACTTGTACCTATAGATGGGGGTTCTTGCCTGCCGATGGCTACTGATGGTATAACTGTAGCTACAAGGTGTAGTGATAGACATTCTGCTCCGAATGCTGCAAAGTATATTGATAAAGTTTCTCTATAAATTCAGCACTTTGCATGCCGTAGTGTATAATCTTACAGAGCACCTCCTGTACGTTCTGCATGCCGCACTGTATATTAATGCAGAGCATTGCTGTATCATTATACATTCTGCTGTCTGTGCTGTAGTGCATAGTGACTCGAAGTATCTCGGTACTTAGCCCCTGCTCCACAGAATGACATTTATCTAACTTTAATAGCCACGTATATCATAGTCCAGGCAGAGACGGTAAAGTTTTAATTCTATTTGTGGACCAATTTTCCCAAGAGGGCGTGTATAGTGTGCCTGTGTGTAAGCAGCATACATGCATCTTGCGTGTTGTATGTTTACAAAAGATGGGTACAAGCAGGGACACTACTATTCCACAAATTATCATACCTCTCCCATTCTGTGTGGTTTTTGTAATGTTATTAATTTATAATTTTTGAGATTTTGCTTAATGACTTCCCTTCTCTGGGTGTGATTTTTATTTATTTGTAATTTTTTATTTTATTTTTCTTTACCCCGAGCAGCGGGAGCTTTTTTTGGTGTTTGGTACATTAATTTTTTTTAATTTTTTTTTTTTAATTGCACTCTAATGTACACCCCATGTAGACTTCTCTACTCCAAATTGATTGCCATTACTGCATTTCTTCGCCATCATTGACCCTATACCCTCCTTTTCTTTTCCTCTAGTGTGTTCCTCGTAGTCATTCATTCTCCCTGCCTCCCCCCCACCCAATTCCTTATATATGGATTTAAACAGTGGTGGCTGTAAATTAAATTAAGAGTGGTTTTGGAAGTAAGGTAACATTTTAAAGTAAAGCAGCCAGCAGAAATATTCCATGGTTCCATGGTAACTTCTCCACTTTTAGAGCTTAGTCCCAAATTGCCTTTTATACATTTTGTTCTTCTTATTAACCGACCAGAAATTCTGACCACATCAAAATTTGTTCAGTAGATTTTCCTACTGATGGCTCATATTTTATTAAACATATTTTATTTGGGGGGGCGGGGGAGGGCAGCTGATTGCGTACAGAATATTGCAGCTTGGCACTAGGTGGGTACAGGGGAACCTGGCGGGGTTTTTTTTTTGTTTTTTGTTAGAAGTTTGTTGTGTTCTGTATATATGTGTTTTGTGAACATTTCTGTAAATAGGTTTGTCTGTGGGATGAAGGGGCCGGGGTGTTAATGTCCAAATTCTAAATTCCAAAGCCATATCCCTGAGGGCTTGTAAAATATCTGCACCCCCTCATCCAGTGTACCTGTAAAAATAAAGGGTACCTAGCGACCTCCCCCTGCATTGGGCTAAATGCCAGATGATACATTGTACCACTCCACAATGCAGCAATTTTTTTTTTATTTTTTTTTTTTATTTAAACCATTTTAAAGATTTATATATTCTATATTTAGCTGCTGCTGCAGTCTGTGCTGGTATACACCCAGTGGAGTGCAAACTAACAGTGTACCCTGATACCCTGACTGTAACTCCCCTGGTAGGTGAACCACAAATTACATGCCCAGTGCAAAAATTACTTGGTCTGTGTATCGGGTCAACCAAAATGACCTCAAGACCCTGTCAGCGTAAACCTGGATGTTTGGTAATGTGTATTAAATCTTTAAATGATTTTTATGGGAAGTAATAGACCTGTACAATTACAATACAATGTTTTTATGGTACATGGTAATCCATGTGGGTATCCTTCATAAAATAATTTGACTCCCAATCATCAATTCTTTTTCCCAAGTTACCGAAATGGGACCTAGCCAGATTCTTGATTCTGTTGAGGAAGATGGCTTGTGGGGGGGGATTTGTTTTTATTTTAAAAACCCAAATTATTATGATTTTTTTTTTTTTTTTTTAAGACTCGCCTGCAACCCAAGGGTTTAAGCGGTCACTGGTCTACCTGATGCACAGGCCATTTTGAATGTTTTAGTGCAGGGGTAGGCAACCTTTAGCACTCCACATATTGTGGACTACATCTCCCATGATTCTTTTCCAGCGTTATGGCTCAAAGAGTATGATGGTAGATGTATTCCACAACATCTGAAGTGCCGAAGGCTGCCTACCCGTGTTTTAGTATGTGTGCTGGGTGTGTTGGACCAATGTTGCGCTGCGCAGAGTCCATCTGAGCAGCTAGCGTTGCGTACCGCAAAAACAATTGGGGCTTAATTAACATAACTGAATATACAGTCTTCTGCAACGTGTTTATTACATTAAAAAATTAATAAATATGACGGTGCAAACTTTATCTGGGAAGAGGGGATGGACTGCTCTAATTCACTATTTTTGCATAGAATCCATCATAAATAAACAGATCTATTTTAGTGAAAGAGACTGCACATTTATTTAATGCCAATTAAGCCTGCATTTATTTATTTGGGATGCCAATGGTGGTACCTTTATTGCAGCTGCTACTGAACCTCTTTGGACACAGATATTCCAATTCCCTGCTTAGAATATTACCGCCCACCCATAGTGAAATGGGATTTGGCGCTTTGGTGTCCCAAGAGGCTCTGCAGCAGCTTTGTCTCTATATACAGGAGGAGGGGTTATTTGTAGAAAAGCTAAGGGAATTCTCCTATTTTACGTGTGTCTCTCTCCTTGCACTAATTAAATGAACCCCTGCACTGCTGGTAGGCTGGGGCTGCACATTGCTCTGCATACAACCCATATATATCTCTGCAGTGCAGAGCAAAGGTGTGAAGCAGGGTTACAGGAGGGGGTAAGCGTTATTTGGGGTGACAGGCGTGCCTTCCCTTGTTAAGATCACTTTTTACTTGAAGTTGTAGACTGGTGTGAAAAAGAGGGAAAATGAATTATTTAAAAAAATATGTTTTTGTTTTGCTTATTTTTTTTTTATTTTTTTTTCTCTTGCTTTTTTTTCATTTTTATTTTTTTTATTTTAATTTTTGTTTAAATGAAGGCTGAATGGAAAAAATGAAAAAAATAAAATATTTAGGAAAATAAAACCAGCTGTGTGCTTTTATTTCTATTCTGTATGATACCCGGATCTGATTTAGCTGTGTACTACACCAGTATGAATTTCTTAGAACAATAACGGAAAATTGAATGGTACGAATTCTTGGGTCTTTGGCTGTCTCCGTGACCTGTATGATCGCCTAAAAAGGGCTATTCCGTTATCAGTATGTTAAAGCAACGTGGAAAGTCCCTAATGCTCCTCTGTGTGGACGCCTCCTTAATGACATTGGAAGAAGCGGACAGGCCGTATTGCTAAGGGAGTCTATGCGCTGGAAAAAGATGCGCAAAACCCCTTTTAAATTATTTGTATGTCATATGGTGGGGGTGGAGTTGAACAGAACTAGGGACCAGGGTCATTGTAGTGTTGGGAATCCAGATTTGTATTGTGTTCCGTTTAAAAAAAATTAATTTTATGCACTGGGACACCACTGCATCAGCAGCCGCCTGTTGCGCATTTCAAAGACATAAGTATGCCTGCTGACGCCTTCCATGATCTCCTACAAAGCAATGCATTAGAACAGGCACGCACTGCAAAATTCTACACTCCTCCAATCAAATGGTCATCAGCACATTAGATCCCAGGACCGAGTTTTACTCTGGAGGAGGAACCGCCTCTAATGGCAAGACAGTATGAAAGCCACCAGAGGTTTATTTAACCCTGCAATGTAAACACATCAATTTCTTTCTATAAAACTGCAGTTATAGTGCTAGGAAAACTGTCGTTTTTACAGCACTACTCCCTCGTGCAAGACCTCCCACTACCCTGTGGTGCTGAAGGGGTTAAAAATGCTGGGTCGGGCTCCTTCTCCGCTCCGATGTCAGCACATGCGCCATGATTGCCATCAATCACTGCTTTCTTATGGGGATTTTCAAGACGCTGGACGTTCTCATGGAAAGCGTGAGGACATCCTGTGTAGTTTCACTGAGTAACTTAAAGGGACACTGTAGGCACCCAGACCACTTCAGCTAATTGAAGTGGTCTGGGTGCTGTGACCTTTTTGCACTTAGTGCTGCAATGTAAAACATTGCAGTTTCAGAGAAGTTAACATTTTACATTGCAGCTGTATAACAGACAGCCACTGGGGGTGCTTCCAGAATCCAAACTGACTTTTGGTCCATTATCTGATGCTGGACGTCCTCAAGGACCTCCAGCGTCAGATTTTTCCCCATAGGAAAGCATTATTGCAAACACATTAAATGTACAATTGGTGCTCTTCGTGGGAATAGACCTATTTTTGTGGCAGTCAGAGCAGGAGTTACCATTAAAATTCTGGCTCGGAGGGGCACCTTGCTAATGCACTGAGCGGCAAGGAAATAGATGTGACTGGTCCGTTGCTCTGTAATGCTACCTCGCAGTGACAAATCAGATGGGACCACCAGAGGGCAATAAAAATAAAATGAAAAAATTCATATAAATTTTACATTGGTTTAGGTAGGGGGACAGGACATACCAGCTCAACCTTTCCATGTAGTCAGTTGCACCCCACAGACACCATTACATACCACCTCACCATAAACACAATGCATGTATCGAGTCCACATATTCTCCCATGCGCACCTACACAAATACACACAAGCTGTATTTCTTTGTATATATGCATCCAGACACACACGGTGACTGTATCTGTTAGTGTGTTTGTCTATGTGCATGTGTGCCCAAAAAGTGTGTGTAAAATGTTATTTTTAACTTTAACTTTTTTTGCTTTTTTTGTGTGTGCTACATCATTATGTGGTCATTTTTTATATTTTGTTTTGTATTCCTAAAACTTTAGTGTTCCTTTTTAATTGTGTAGACACTGACACCCACTGTTCTGTTGTTTAAATTGCACCATTACAATTGGCTGTAGTGGTTCTAGTGCCCAGGCGTGTTCTGGAGCACTACCAGAGAATTTTTCACCATTTAATAGTTTGACAATTTACCGGAGTGCTAAATGTTTGGTGTTTTCGTCAGTGATCTACAAGGCTACCAACCATTCCTCTTCATTTTGTAGATTATAAGTAGTATTCAACCACTTTTTGCTTGGCAGCTAGCATTAAGTAAACTGAGCCACTTTATATTGTGTGTATCAGGGTATGTCTATATATTGTTAGTGTGTGTCTTTGAGCAAAAATCAATGCTTTTTTCCATTCTAAACCTATATAAAGTAGAGGTTCCAGATACTTAAAAAGAACCAATTTAAAAACTAAAATTCAAGCAGGGTTCCTTACGAAAGTGAGAATTCAATGTCAGCCATTTTGCCCATAAATTTGAAATTCACTCTGAATTCTCCCTTTAGTGAATAATCCTGTCAGTCATTAGAAGTTATTTGCCTTTTGCCGAGTGAATTCTAGACTTCTGGACTATTTTCCTGCTGGCTGCAGTAGCAACCAGCAAACTAATAAAATCTTGGCATTGCAAACCTTCTACATGTGCTGTCATGCCTGCGCTTGGTAGCCAGCCGCCACAGTAAAAAGTTAGGAAAAAAAAAATAAAAAATGACCCCAATCTAGCTAGAGGGTGGTCTGAAATCTCCTTGATGCCTACACTTCAATGCTGCAAGTGAGGGCCTATCTACCAGTATTGCCCCAGCATTGCTATGGGGTTTAAAACTATAAATCTAGTGACTAGGCACCTATTGGGTATATGGAGGGAAGGGGGTATTAATTTGGGAGGTATGGATATTGGAATGTTCACCCCCAATTAGATTAATAACTCAAACTTGCTACCTATTGGTGAGCTGTTGGGAGGCACAAGGGCATGTCCCATATCTTTATTATTTCCCTTAACCATCCACATGTGGGCAAGGGTTGGGGAGGAGAATGCATCACATTGCTTATACCTGCATTAAAGCCTCCACTGTGAGGGGAGGGCGATACGACTAAGAAATGTCCCACCATATCTATATTTTGGGGTTCTACCTGTTTTTCCAGCTATGGGTGAAGACAGTGGGTGGATTGTGTCTTGTCTATCCACCATGTTACATTTTAGCCCCCAACTCGAATTAGAGCATTTTTCCATAGAAGTACAAATAACTAATAATTTAATATAATATATAGATGAGTCGGAATGAGTATAGTTTAGTCGGACAATTTGTCACACAACTTGTAGTTCTGGGGATTTCAGCAGGGGTCTCAAAGTTGTGGCCCGGGGACCATTTTAAGCATCCACATATCCAAGAATAAAGAGGTATTTTTGAGTCTTGGGCATATCTCTGTGTCCGGGTGGCCATGATCACAACCTCATTTGCTGTGTAAAGTTCCAACATTCTGAAATTGCATGCTGGAACTTAAATGATAGCATTTAAATGTCTTTCTGATTACGTTGTCTAATGCTCACAGAGCAGGGAAGCAGCACAATCCTCTGGATGAAGCCTTAACCAAGCAGTGATGCTGGTGTTTGGTTGCACTGATGTTGTAATGATGGCTCTGTGTGGAGACTTTATTAGAATCCCCAAACTGCAAATGCCATCACAGGGACATGATTTGGCACATAATCATTAGGTCGTAGCAGCAGCAGAAATGTAACTAGTTCTGACAGGTGCTGGCGATACAAGTCCCAGTCTCTCTCAATATTATTTTTGCATTTTAGGTTTTTCTGACCCTCTCAGGGTGCCCATATATATGTGCCCTGTATGGCTGTATTTCAGATGTGGGATATACTGTACAGTACTTTAAATTTAATTGGATCCACTGCCATCTAGTGTCCATATTAATAAACTACAACCTTTACTAAGGAGTACTAATTTTATTAAAGGACCACTCTAGGCACCCAGACCACTTCAGCTTAATGAAGTGGTCTGGGTGCCTGGTCCCTCTAGGGTTAACCCATTTTTTTCATAAACATAGCAGTTTCAGAGAAACTGCTATGTTTATGAATGGGTTAAGCCTTCCCCTATTTCCTCTAGCGGCTGTCTCATTGACAGCCGCTAGAGGCGCTTCGTGCTTCTCACTGTGATTTTCACAGTGAGAGCACGCCAGCGTCCATAGGAAAGCATTATGAATGCTTTCCTATATGACCGGCTGAATGCGCGCGCAGCCAGCCGACGGGGAGGAGAGAAGGAGGATCGGAGGAGGAGAGCTCTCCGCCCAGCGCTGGAAAAAGGTAAGTTTTTACCCCTTTCCCCTTTCCAGAGCCGGGCGGGAGGGGGACCTTGAGGGTGGGGGCACCCTCAGGGCACTATAGTGCCAGGAAAACGAGTATGTTTTCCTGGAACTATAGTGATCCTTTAAGGGATTTTCCCCAATATTATAATCCCGTAGACTTTTATTTATATATATTTTTTCCTAAAATGGCCTTTGAACTCCCAGTACACCATTTTATGGCATATGAGATATTAAACTACGGGACAGATTAAGAGCCCAGTGGGCCTGGTGCTGACAATTTATAAATCTTATTATAAAATGGTCCTACCTCCCAAGCGTCATGTATCTGAGGGAGTTAGTGTTGGAGGGCAACTCAAAGGATGCAGCTATAAGAAAACACATACTCCTATGTTAATCTCTCTCTAATTCATGCTTTCATCTTTCAAGTAAATCCATACCCCCTAACAGCAGTGTCCGGTGAAGTCAATGGGCGGGGTAAAAGGGTGGGCCACTGACGCGAATCACGTGACCTAATTAGTGGGGTAATAACTGCCTGATCCAAGGAGATATCCGACTGCTATTTTGGGGTCAAGAAGGAATTTTTTCCTAGTTTGTTGCAAAATTGGAAGCGCTTCAGACTGGTTTTTTTTGCCTTCTTTTGGATCAACAGCAAAAACATATGTGAGGAAGGCTGAACTTGATGGACGCAAGTCTATTTTCAGCTATGTAACTAGAACTGCCAAAAAGAGGGCATGTCTGCCAAAAGAATTGGAAGGCCAACCTGGCATGAAAGCATGTCAGACTGCCTGCCAATCATGCAGGCTGTCCAATTAAAGGCATACTATGCAGGCAGCACCCTAAGCGTGACATAAATGTGTCTAATGATGCGCTCACTCCACGCT